TATAATGGGCCGCAATTCTCAAGAGCCCTCTGGGCTGAATTGTCCAAATTTGTGACCAAGTGCAAGTTTAAGCACGCGCAGTCTGGTCCTCATTATCACCAGAGCAACGGAATGGCAGAATCCACTATGAAAATTACAAACAGGTCCTTGAAGAAAACTGCTGACGCTTATAAAACTCTCTTAGCCTACAGGAAAAGCCAATTGAAGAACGGATACAGCCCCACGCAGCTGCTCACAGGGAGACCACTGTGCATGCTCCTGTCAATGCATAGTGAAAACCTCCAGCCTCGTACTTCAGACTTCCAAAAACTGGCAGCTTTCAAGAGGTTACGGGGTCAGTGCCAGAAGAAAGACCATGACTGGCACCATGGAATGCTGATCTGCCACAGCTATCTGAAGGAACTGATGTATAGATTGTAGACCTGCAAAAGAAAGAGTTGTTTGAGGAAGCGCTGACGAGCCCAGGTCAAACTGGGTTGTCTGGGTGGAAACTTTTTTCCGCAGAAGCTGCCCTCCTCTCTTCCAACTGCCGTCGACAAGTTTAGAAGATGCTTGAGAAATAAGGAACTTGGAGTGGAATCGTCGAAAATACGCAGTGATGAAACAAGCAGTGTGCAACGTTGTAACGACTCTCTTCATTATCACACACGAAGTGGAAGGTGTGTGGTTTTTCTAGAACAATTTCAAGTATCGTAAAAAACAAAAAAAAAAATGCAGAGGAAGTTGTGTCATAAGATAGCTCGCCAGCTTTGACAGCGTCAGTGTCGGCAGTTATAAAGCTACAACGGCGCTAGTGATACGGTCAATAAAAGCCGCTGTTTTCCGATAATAAAGGGTTATTTCTGTTGTCCCTTGTGAGAAAGACGTACGCCCACTTCTTTCCGTCTGGATGCGACGAAAGAGTGCGTGAGCTGTTGGCAACTTCTTTGGCACTCATCATCAGTTGGGCTATGAAAGCAAGATATTCATCCTCATAATCTTATCATCCATGCCACAGCTTCCGTCATCCCTTTTACTTTCTTCCGCTTTTTCAAGACTGGCAACCACTTGATCTTATTTTCTTGTTTCTTCCTCCAACTTCGGAGTACTGCCAGAATGCTCCACTGTAAAAGGTTTGCTGAGGAGTATTGTTCATGCACATCATTGGCACTTGATCTTTTTATCTTTGCTGAAAAAGTTACAAATAATTAAATTCTGGTGTGGTGTTTTCACGTTTCTGCATGCTGTCACAACAGATTTGACAGTAGCCTTTTCAACCTCAACGGAATTGTCTTGACTCACAGACAGTCCGCTTTCGCAGTTGGTATCTGAGCTTTCATAACATATAATGTCTCTTTCCATGGCTTCGGAAATGTCACAGTCGTCTGCAGTTTTACGGAAGCCAACTCGGTTATAGTTTCTATGGCCTTGTCTGGCACAAGCAAGCAGCGAATCGCTCGTGGCACTTAGGTGAAAGTCCGCGTTCAGACAACAAATACTACCCATCAGCAATTGCACACGCTACCCTGTCATGGTAGTCCGCAGAATCCTGGAGTTCCTAGTCAACTGCCTCATCTTCAGTTACGTTGAGGATCTGCTTGTTCAAATTGCAGAGCTCAGCTTCTATGGTCATCAAAACGGTAACTTGCCTCGGTTTCGGGGTCTTGCAGTAGTTCTGTCAAGAGCGTAATTGGGCATGAGGACCACCACTGGAGGAGCGGGTTCTGCAATTGTGGTGACGTGTAGGGTTGGATCACGTCGTCTCGCCTCGCTCTGGCGAAGGAAAGCTGGCGGTTGGATGTGTTGTTTTTAACTGTGACTTCGTGGTGTTTTCACTTTTGAACAGCGTTGTTTTGCTCTCACTTCATGTGTGCGGACTTCTACAAACTACACAATCTGGAAAGTTGCAGTAAAAGTTATCGGCGCTGCACCACAGCGCGCTATGCACGCAATGCCACTGTTACGGCCGCTGGCAGTGCCACTGTCACCTCTCTTTTTTTATGCTGTCGTGGCTGTTAATTCAAGACCATGGGGTTAAAATGAGCACAGACCTTAATTGTTCACATAAAAAGCACATTTCAGTTACCGCACGAGAGCCTGGTTTACTAGGAGAAACGAATATGCAAACAGTCCGATTATGTATATTTTAAAATACGACATACATGTCTACATGGGGGGGAGCTGCCGTCATTACATTTCAGAATGTGCGCCGTTGTTTAAACTGTCAGAGAGTCTAGATAAACCCAGGAAGTACCGCTATTTCCCTAAATTTTTTGGTATTTTACGATATTCAGGTCTTTTCATGGCCAGTTGCTTCTGCATGTTCGGCCAGCAAGTTCAACAAAACTTTCTTACATCATACATGTGCCACTCCAGTCTGCTAAGGCTACTTCTCTGGCCAAGGTAACTTTTACTACAGTCTGCGCCACCACCCACTCTGCTCTCCAGGTGTCTGCCCCCGTGTGTGTACCCAACCACAAGGGTTCTCATCTGCCAGTGGCAGAGCCAGGTGGTACCACACCAAGCCTGTGCCTTCCCCCCCCTTCTAAAACGTTTTCTCTTGGCCTATAGCACACAAAATAACAGTCGACCACATCTGCCTGCCCGGCCTCCCAATTCTAATAAAGTGGCGCCCCCTCAGAAAAAAGTTTCCACCTACGCCTCTGTCGTCTGCAACTTTGGCTCGCATGGTTCCTGCTTATACGTCTGTTGAATGGGCCCACAGCCACTTTCACGTCTGAATGTTGTTTTGATCTAAAAGTGAAAACGCGGTCAGCTTCGGAAACTGATTAATATTTTAATAGCTGCCGTGAAACGTCCCACAGCTTAGGAATGAAGCTGTAAAACTGGACATTGGCATTTTTACTGAAACATGAAATTGCCATTTAAGTTGCGCTATGCAAGACATAACTCGCAGCATGCTTATTCGAGGGTGCAAAATAATACGGCTGGCGTGCACTGCATTTTCTATGGTAATCGAGCACGATCAGGATCACATCTTTTATCATGATTTACTTCTTTGTAGAAGCTGTGAAACTGCGCCAGTCATTCATATTTTCTACCCATGTGTTACTCGATGGTGATCAGGTGTGCACCATGTGACAACAGTACAAAATTTTCGCAATAAATATCAGGATTGTGCCACAGAAAAACTTTTTCTTGTGTGAAACTTTACCTAGTTACAACTCTGACTGAGGCACACGCACGCGTATGACTCTTGTGTTTGCCTGCAATCATAACTGAAAGGTTGCGGTGGCGTGCGGCTGTAAGAATATTGTGTTGCTTCCCACTAAGTGCGGAATCCACTTGTGGGTGCTTCGTAAGGCTATGTGTGCTAAACAAAAGATGCAAATTTGTGCATGCTTGTTGTATCAACCACGGCCTGACCCAGTTGGATGCAAACCTACAATGAATGAAGTAGCCTGGCTTGCGCGCATTTTTTCAGCTAAAGTAAGTCTTTTTGCCCTCAAGCACGCGTTAATACCGATTTGATGCTTCAATTCGACACGGAATGAGCCGTTACCTTTTACAAAAGCAGCGCGCTCGGCCCTCGTGGTTTTCATATAGGTGGCCATAGCAGACAACGCTAGCAGTCAGGCAATATGAGAAGCGTAATATTTTTCCGGTGCAGTTATTAAGAACTTCGTACAGTCAGTGAAGAAGCTGCAGTGGTAACAAGAATAATAATAATAAAAAGAAAGAAATGTGAAAGTGCTGGCGGAGCAATCCAGCCAGGCGCGTCACAGGGATGCAGTTTGCATCGTGGTGCCTTAGTATGTTCTCGTGCCCATTACAATTCTGTAAGACGCTGGCCCTGACAATCCCACTCACCTTCCTCAGACGCAGTCATCGCAGTCCAGGATGAACCACTCTTGGGTTTCAGACCAAGGATGGTTGTAAAACTGGAAGACGATGTTTACTCCATAACTCTGCGTTCGAACCAAAAAGACTTCAAGCTTGCCGTACAGGATGCCCTGTAAATTTTAACCCTGTTTAGATGCAAAGCAGCTCTTTGACTAGCCTGTGTAACGCTGCCCCTCCGCACCGGGGTGGAGCCAGTAAGCCACGCCTTCCCTTGCAGTGCGCGCGCGTAACGTCACTCTCTGCCTAGATTGTTGCCACTCGCCGCGTGTCATCTTTCTCGCTTCACCCTCTCCACCGCTCGTAACGTTCAAGCCGACTCCTCATGTCGGCATCATCTCCTCGCCCGTGCCACCTCTCTCCATCTGTCGGCAAAAAGAAGCTGCAGATAGGAGCGCTGTGTCGCGCACTGTCATCTAGCCCACGGTCCCGCAGTGCCGGCATGTGGACAACACGCTGCTGCTTGTTGCACGATCACATTGATGGGCAGGATGCCACTGGGGCTTGCTTCCTGGTAGTGTTTGCTGCCTTTCTTGGTCATTGCCGGCATCGTGGGTTAGCAAAATTGATCGTGTTGGCAAATGGCGACTTCGCGCTTGGAACACCGTCAAAGCGGGAGCCAGGGAAGCCGAACGCAAGCGGCGGCCGTGGAAGACCATCGGCACTGATTAGATGTGAGTCAAGAACACCAATCGTGTTTGATAATAGAGATGGGGCACGGGTAACACCGATGAGACACAAGCCGAGGAAGCCAAGTGCAAGCGTCTTCAACGCCTCCCTCCTCCCATGTCTTTACATTTTAACAAATTTTCACTCCAGTGAACGCTGGGCTGAGTTTCGCTTGAAACCATTCTTTCAGCACCTACATCGACGCCCGCTTCAACAAGGTCAACGCCGTGTGCACCGCTGCTGCTTTGCATTCCATCAGGGTTTCATTCGGGGAGATGGTCCATAGTTTTATTTCTATTTCTTTTTTATTTTAAACTGCATTTACATTTGTTCACACCACTCCTTTCTATAGTGCCTTCGGGTCTTAAAAGTGCCTTCAATAAATAAATAAATAAATGAATTTTTTTAGAGAGTACACACCCCAATTTCTTTAGTGATTTTACGCATCTGAAAACTGATTAACGGAAAACCAGTGACGGTATGAAGTGCAGGGCGGGTGTTGCGGCCCGGTTCACTGGTGCGCGTGGCCCTCTGCCGTGGTCAGGGGGGCACCCCTGCCGAAAGCCACTTGCGTTGCCCCGGCAACACGTGGCAGGTGGTACAGATGGCTGCACCCGGTGGATTTATCCTGCACCAGGTCCTGCCTTTCTCTGCACCGGCAGGATACACTCCACGTGGATACAGGTAAGTGCCGGATCTCACATTACAACCAAGTGGCATGTCATACGCATGAAATACCACTGACATGGTTTAGAAAGGCCAGACAAACTGTTGGGTTAATATTAGAGCATAAGAACATTTCGAATTGTCAGAAAAGGAAAGAAAATCGAATCTGGCCCTTCATTGTAAACAGTACAAATGTAAGCTGGTGCTGAATGAAATTAGGACTGTGGGCTGAAGTCTTGATGAAATGATGCATGAAACATCTGAGGCCTTTCACATGACATTGCGAAAAATAGACAAAGTATGTTGCAGTAATTGCTTTGTGGCGTTGTGCAGGAAGGAACAAGATTTACTGCAATATTTTTTTACAGTTAAGAGGAACACAGAATAATGCAAAGATGACAGCACAGCGATTGCACATCAGTTTTGTGTTACGCTTTCTTGATTGTAAGGGCGATTGTAATATGACCATATGACTGCATGAGTGCTGAGTGCATAGTGTCACGGGGTCGCTACGTGGACGAAAGGAGCATCCTGCAGGTTGAACAATAAGCTTTTTATTTAGGCGGAACATGTGGCCACGTAAAAAGAAAGTAGGACACTGGCACTGATAGCGAGCATCGGCCGTCGATCAACTTATAAGCGGCAAAGCGTGTCGGCATTTATACACTTGCCATCGAATATTCTAGCGTTATCGATACCTTATCTTAACGAAATGATCTACTACAGTCCCAAAGCTTGTCGAACACTGCAGGCATGGTTTGCACTGAGAATTACGTACAGTGTAACAGGGCGACAACAAAACTTGAGGAAAGGAATGTAGCAATATTTTTGAGTCTTGCTTTGGTGATTTGAGAGTTGATTCTAGTATAGACACTGCCTGTCTTCTTCACCGTGTCCCGTGCTTGTCCGTATCTGGCTGGGCATATTTTCTTTTTGTAAATACACGCTATTTCCACGCGCGTTCCTTATTTTCACTCTTGTTTCATTCGGTTTTCGCTCATAAAGCCTGTCAGGAATTCTCAGTGCAAACTTCACCGCATTGTTCAAGAAGGTTCCCGATTATTGTAGATCGTTCTGTCAAGAGTGCGCGCAAGACACCAACACTCGAGATTATTCCAATGCTTGCGCGCCGACCAGTGATGAGGCTAGAATTTTTTATGGTTATGAAGCGGGGAAGCTTGGGCAAGTTGGTAGGACATTACTGAATGCAGGAACAGCGCTCTTTTTTGTCTTTGTTTTTTTTCGCTTCCTTAGTTACGAAGTAACTACTTCTAGGTTGCGCTGTTCCTGCATTCAGTAATGTTTGATGGCATAGATATAAATGCCGACAGGCTTTGCCGATTGTTAGTTGATCGACGGCCGACACTCAGTTCACCGCTCTCAATGCCAGTGAGTATCACTGTAATCTGACTTTTCGTTGGTGGGCCAAAAGTTCAGCCGAATAAATAGTTTGATCTTCGAACTACTTACAGTCTGGTTGTTTCGTTGACGTCATGACCCTGTGACACTGTGCACTTTGCATTCGTACTTTGCTGTAGTGTCCCCAAGCAGCTGCTGAGTTCTTGCATTGTGTCTGGAATTAGGGGGAAAAAAATAATAATGAAAGCGGCCCCTAATGCAAGTCACGGGTGCCACTGCTCTCCTGTACGCGACATACCGCAGTATGCCAAGCAAGTACCCCCCTCCCTTATTTAGGAGATCTAAACTAAGTGCCAACGACCGAGCAAGCACCGCCAGCTCTCCCTTGTAGCCACTTCTTTTTTTTCAAGACGAGTATTGCTTGTGTAAAAAGAACCAAAAAAATGAGTACACTGAATGCACATCTAATATTGTTTATGAAATTATGTTGTCATGTGGCCATTCGTACGTTGGCCACACGGGTTGCTGCTTTAATGTACTGTTCACACCAGTTGCTGTACTTGCGTCAGGCCGTCCTCATCGACATCACTTTTCTGTCCGAATCTGAGCAGGCGTTTGACAAGTTTGACTGGGACGAGGGGGAGAATAAAAAAAAAACAGTAAATAATAAGTAAAGCATTTTATTTAAAGCATGAAGGAGCATTGTTTATTTTTAGCCGCTCTCCCGCCACCCTCTCCTCCCTCCCCAAAATCCAGTTAGATTAACCTTCACTCTGGGGAGGGGTGCTTGCACAGCATCTTATTTATTTATTTATTTATTTATTTATTTCATAATACTGCAGGCCATGATGCCCAAACAGAAGTAGGAGTTCAGACATAATAAAAAAACTGAGTAAACTAACAAAGAAATCAGGTTTACAAATTCGTACTGCAATTAGCAATCAAATAGGAATTCACAACTAAACATATTGCTACGATCGGTTGTGTTTATTCAAGAATGAATAGTGAAGAGTTCTTGCGCTGACACAGAGTTGCTTGGCAGACAGATCACTTCATTCTCCTTTTCCTTTCTTCACACGGTACTGCTTCAGCATAGCGATATACAATGGAATATTGATTATACGAATTCGAAGGGAACACGCTAAATATACATAATGCAGCGGGTATGTGCCAGTGGTGGCGAGAACGAAGCAGCGCGAGTGTCCTTGACCGAGTGCAAAAGACGAAGAAGTTGTTGCAGTCTTCTTCCTGCGATCGATAAAGCGTATTTGTTTGAGGCGCTTTGTGTGCTCGTCGATCCTGCGTCGTCACACTGGTAGAGGTGCTGGGCAGTCTTCATGCTTGGCACCCCTTTGCGGACCCGACATTCGAGCCCGGAATAGCTACCACCCGTCGACACACCAGTCCACCGCTTCAGTCACCGTCTGCAAGGCCTGGCTCCCGAGCTCAATCTCTTGCCAGAAACTGCCAGCAATCGCTTGCTGCCTTCAGCCACCATGGCTGCTGCAGCTCGATTGCACATGACACTTCAAATACCATGATTCCTGACTGCTTTCATGCTGAGACCTATGAAGATGCACAAGACTGGCTGGACCAGTTCGAACGCTGCGCGAAGTACAACCAGTGGGCCACCCCAGAAAACAAGCTCGCGAATGTGTACTTCTACCTTAAAGATAACGCCCAGACGAGGTACAACAACAGAGAAAGAAGCATGGCTATCTGGGACGGCTTCCGCAACCAGCTGATTGACACCTTTACTAGTCTCGACAGGAAGGAAAATGTGCAATGTCTCTTGGAAGCTCGAATTCGAAAATCAAATGAGAGCATTGCTATGTTCGTCGAGGACATGACCGGTCTTTACGGCAGGGCAGATCCCGAGATGCTGGAAGACAAAAAGCTGTGGTATCTAATGCGAGGTGTGAAGGAGCAACTGTTTGCTGGGCTAGTGAGAAATCGCCAACAACAGTAGCTGAGTTCACGAAAGAAGCCGTAGCTATTGAACGGGCCCTACAGCAACGGTACCGCAAGCAGAAACCGGTCAGCTTTCGAGCAAGTAGTCCCATTACGACTACAGGGAGCCTCTGCAACAATGACAGGCCTCTGCGGGAAATTGGAAGATTTCGAGGGAGGAGCTTTGGCAGCTTGGTTTAATTCCAGCAACCGAACCGACGTCGGCATTGTCTTTTGTCGCTTATGTTGTCCGGGATGACGTCCGCCAGACTCTCTCTTCGTCCGGCTATAATGGTGTGCGACTGACATTTTACTTATGCTGATGCAGTCCGACGTCCCGTCGTCGCGCCTGCATCACAGCAGACTCCAATGACTGGACCACCACCAACCCTGCAAACAGAGCCACTGTCAGCACCGACCACTTTCGCAACCCCGCCGATTCCTCCGACAAGACGAATGCCGTACAACCAACATGCCCCACAACGTGGCCCAATAGTGAGTCTTCACTTACCTACCAGCGTTGTAAAACCAATTTGTGGCGTACCGCTGACTGTCGACCGGTATGCTTTCATTGTGGCGAAGCTGGGCACGTCTACAGAGTTTGCCGTTATCGCGACGCTCAGTAATCGAGATTTCCTCGCTACCCTGATTACATTGCGTACGACGATCAACGCATGTACAACTACGCCCCTGTGAACACACCGCCGCAGAATCCAGTAGTGCCCAGATCACGTTCTCCATCTCCTGCGCAGCCCAGTTCACCTAATCGTCACAGTTTTGCCGACGTCACCAGGGGCAGGTCCCCTAGCCCGCAACGGGGAAACTAGACGCAGCGACCTCGGGGGGTGGGGTTGCCAATATTCAAAATTCCAAACAGCCCCCATTGCAGACAAATGACAGCTCGAAGCCATCGATACCGAAGAAGACGACAGCAACGACTAATTCGACGGATGAGACAACTGCCGACGTAACTGACGTTATCAGCGCTGACCTCGTCGTTCACATTCACGACCACCAAGTGACGGCTCTTGTGGACACCGGCTTCCACTTTTCTATAATAAGCCTGCAGCTAGCCGACAGACTAAGGAAGGCGAAGATGCCATGGCACGGACCCAATATAAGAACCGCAGAAGGTCAGTTGATGACACCGGCTGGAAAGTGCACGGCCCGACTCTTCATCGCTGTTTCCACCTGTGTCGCCACCCTCGTCATTCTTCACGAGTGCTGTAAACAGCTCATATTGTGAATGGATTTCTTGCGCAAATACGGGGCTGTGATTGACATCTGTGACCGAAGCGTAACGTTTGCTACAAGCTTGGAGACTGCTACAGATGAGGAACACCAGCCACCTCGCTTGTGTATTGCTAATGACGACGTCATACTGCTGCCATGAAGTTGTTTCCTCGTATCCCTGCACTGTAACATCTTACAAAACGGTACTGGCATCGCTCAACACATCAAGGAGCTTGCATTCACTAGCGGCATTTCTGTTGCCAGGGCAGTCATCACTGTTATTGACGGATGCGCTGAACTCTTAATGACAAATTTCAGTAGAGAATGCCAACACATATTTAAAGGCACAGCTATTGCTTATTTCGACAAACTCTCTTTAACAGAAGATTGTCATTTAGTGGAGGAAGCAGAAGTGCCTACTATTACTACACCGACACCTGTCAACGTTGGTCCATCGTTATCTTCAATTGAGCGAA